TTATTATGTAATTATTGGTTTTTTTTTTTAAATTGTTTTTCATTGAATACATGTAATTTTAATATTTTTAATTAATTTACAGTAGGTTTTTTAGTGTTTTTTTTTTTTTTTTTTTTTTTTTTTTTTTTTTGTGACAGCACCAAACCGTCGCAAAAAATAGATATTTTATAAGTTTTAATAATTTTTAATAAAAGCCTTTTGCGATGGTACTATTTTCCGTCGCAAATAATCTTTTAGCGACGGCTCATTGTGCTGTCTCAAATAGTTTTTTAGCGACGGCAGGTATCCCCGTTGCAATAAAAATTCTTTAGTGACGACATTTTTGCTGTCTCAAATAATACCTTTAGCGACGGCAATATAGTGTCGTCTCAAAAAATCTCAAATTTTTTTATATTAATGGCGACGAAAAAATTCCGTCGCAAAAAGGCTACTTTGCCGTCGCAAAAAAAAGCGACGGCAACATGCCGTCGCTAAAACCTTTTTGCGAACCTTTTTGTTGCGACCCTCCATTTGCCGTCGCTAAAAGTCATTTGCCGTCGCAAAAAACCTTTTGAGACGGCATTTTGAGTATTTGCGACGGCATTTTACCGTCGCAAAAAGTCAATTTTTTTTTTTGTAGTGTGATAACAACCACCTTTTGTATCTTCCTCAGTATACTCATTTGATGCCATCTCAGAAAAAATGTACACGATGCTCAGGGTATGAATATTGGTATAGTTGATGAGACTGAAATATCTCTTAAGGCTTCACATGATCTTATTAGTGCTATAGCAGGAGGGAAAGAATTTGTAGGGTTCATGTGGGAGGATCAGAAAAAACACTTATGTGCAAAAAAGGACAGAGAAACTTGCAGTATGGTGAAGTAGGGAGTCTGTTAAGATATTTCCAGTAACAAGTGGTAGAAAATGCATATTTTTACTATGCCATTCTGTTGGATGTAGATGAGATAATTATTAATATTTTTTAGACTGATCATCAGATGATGACATATTGTAGGCTTTTTGGTGATGCTATGTCATTCAACACAACTTTTCGAACAAATAAGGAGTATCGTCCGCTTGCTTTATTTTTTTGGCTTTAACTACTTTATTTTGGTGCATCATTGTTGTATGATGAAACTGTACAGTCATTTGAAACTTTTTTGGATGCAACGTCAGGAAAAAACCCTACTAGTTTTTTCATAAACCAAGATCAAGCAATGGCTAAGGCAATTTCACAAATCATGCCTGGGGTTTTTTATTATAGGTTGTGCACTTTTTCCTAACGCAAAATACTTTGAAGCATTTAGATTACTTGTTCAAAAGTGGTTCAAAATTTAGTAGCGATTTAAAAGCTTGCATTTACGACTACTAGAATGAGCATGAATTAATTGAAACTTGGAATTCTTTGATTGATAAATACAACTTGCAAGAGAATGAATGGATGAAGAGAACTTGGACAAAAAGAGAGCAGTGGGCGCACGTGTATATGAAGCGGGTATTTACTGGAGGAATGTGAAGCACACAACTTAGTAAAAATCTGGATGGAACATTAAGGGGATATTTGAAAGTCGATCATAACATTTTTTAATTATTTACTCACTTCAATCGAATTATTGTAGATAAGCGGTGTGAGGAAGTTTCTGCAGTATATGACTCTAGACAAAAGTTGCCAAGAATGAAATTGAAAAAGTCTCCCATTTTAGGCCAAGTTTGGCAACTTGAAAAAAAATCAATAAGCCAAAAAGTTACTCAAAAAGGTATCACTATTCACCAAAAGTAAAAAATTATGGCTGCACAACTCCCAATCTTAATTTTCCCCTACATACTAATTTATGCAATTTTTTAATATACATTTTTCCATAAAAAGTCAAAAAGTTAACCCAAATATTCATATTTTTTTCTCAATTTTTTAGTCTAAAAAGACAAAAAGTGCATTTATTTAGGACACCCCAAACAACCCCTTAATTCAGGTTGTGAGTTTGTACACCCTTCTTATCTTTGACTTATTTCATTATGAGTTGGATATGTCCATTTGTTGTCAAGTGAAGTAATTCCATGGGTTAGAAGTATAAGTTAAGTGCGTGATTGGCTTGTAAGGTAATGATGCAGAGTATATTGTGGAGGGTAGGGTGGAAGTTACTAGGCTAAGAGGAGAAAAAGGTTGTCGAGAAATACATTAATTGCACTTGTAAGAAATTTGAAAGCTTTAGAATTTTATGTAGTCATGCAATCAAAGCACTTGATAGAATGAATGTTATGAAAATTCTCGAAAAGTATATATTAGGTCCATGGAGATTGGATGCAAAAGATTGCAAAGTTGAGGAGGAAAATGGTATAGTGGATGAGGATGATCCGAAGTTGTTAATATTAGTACATTATAGAGATCTTTGTCCAATAATAGTAAAACTAACAACTCAATCATTTGTGCACAAACCTATCTTAATTAGTTGATAAAGGGATTAAGGAATTGTATATAAAAGTGAACAATATGATGAACGGAGTTGGAAATTTTGGTACCAAAGAATTAGATGTGGATGACCACAACTTTGCACAAGTTAAGAGCATAAAGAAGAAAGATGTTGGACGTAAGGGGAGAGGTAGATTAAAACCTTGGCATGAGATGATGAATAAGAAGACAAAAGTTATTTCACAACCTACTCGCTTTAGTAAAGTCAGGGGCGGTCTTAAATTTTTCGGGACTCAAAGCGGATCATTAAAATTGAGGCCCTTCAAAAAAAAAAAAAGGTAGGAAATGAAAAGTACTTACATTACTATAATTTACTTACACACACACACACAAAAGAAAAAAAAAAGGAAAATCATTATAAGAACTGAAAAAGATAAAAATATAACACTATTGTTTTATATTTTAGCAAATTCAGTTTACAAAAAAACTAAACAAATTAACTATCAACTATTTCTATTTTTACATGCAAAAGTACTAATTAAGAGAACACCCACATAACAGAATTCACTAACAACTGAAGAGAATATCTGATCCAACCCAAACAAAAGCATGACAAAGTTTAAATTAAATAGAAATTAACAAAATTATCTCACAAAAATTAGATTCAAGAAATAGGGCAAATTAGATTTAGGGCACAAACCAAAATTAAGTAAGTCCTCGAATAAATAAATAATGAAATCAATAATTAAAGAAAACAGATAAATTAATAAGCCACAAGTCCTCAAATAATGTTTTTTTTTTTTAAATGGTGAATTTACAAAAATAATTAGGGCACATAAATAAGATTTAGGGCAAAAAGAAAGAGAGTGAGAGAGAGAGGACTATTAGTATTCGATGATTGATGCCTTGCCGATTGCTTCGTCAAATCGTCACCGGTAAACTTGTCTGAATTTGTTTCTAATTTGTCTGAACTTGATAAATTATGGGTATAATCTTGTCATACGTGATACTAATTCATATTCACCAAGATATCCACAATCACAACCTTTGTCTTTCCAAGTATCACATAGTTCACAAACTTCTCAAGTAATATATATATATATATATATATAAGTTTGAGTTCAAATGAAAAAAGTAATATATATACTCTTGTAATGTAATTTAGTCCAATAAATTTATTCTAATGCATTTTTTTTTTCCTTCTCAAGTAATATATATATATATATATAAGTTTGAGTTCAAATGAAAAAAGTAATATATATACTCTTGTAATGTAATTTAGTCCAATAAATTTATTCTAATGCATTTTTTTTTTCCTTCAAGGAATATCACTTAATCTAGCGGGCGACAATGATCTAATGGAGACTGAATCCTTCTTTCGAAATGAGAGTTCTTTTGATTTTGCTATTTATTCCTAGCCGTCTCGACAAAATTGATATGGAGATCCACTTCTTAGTTTTTGCTTTGAGAATTGAAATTAAAGGTTTTTAGAATTTTGTTTGGATGATTCAGAATGGTTGAGACAGGTTTCACTACAACAAAAACATACTTTAGTGGCACTACACTAGTGGCATATTTTTAGAAAATGTCACAAAAAATGATATTTAGTGGCACGTTTTTGAAAAATGCCACAAAACGACAAACATAAAAGGCTCTAGTGACATTTCAATAAACAAGTGTCACAAAATTACAACAAAAACATACTTTAGTGGCACTACACTATTTCTTAATTGCTTTGGATTTTTTTTTTTTGAATTTTAATTTTTTTTTTTTTTTTTTTTTGCTTTTGGTTTGATAAATTGATTTGTTGATTTCCCTCCTTTTAATTTCATTTTGATCCATTTACGTGAGTTTTGAAGTGGTCATAGCATGTATGGTTTGTTTGATTTTAATTTCAAAATTAATTTAAAAAAAATATATATTTAGTTTGACAAAAATAAACACCTAAAAAAGATATTTTTAAAATTTTAAAAATTATTCACTTTCAAAAAATATAAAATTATATAAAAATAATGAGTGTTATTACTTTATTATTATTTTTTGCTAATTAAGTCTATTTGAAAATTATTTGAATTATTTGCTTAAAAAATAATCAAAATGTTGTAATTTAGCTATTCATTCTTCTCCCAATATGAATCATTCAGTAAAAAGTAAAATGGGTTACAAAGTCTACGTCAATACCTTGCGTTTAGCATACCACCTAATACCTAGTTGGTATCCCCTTAATTACAAAGGGTCTAATTCGGTCTATTGGGTTTATCTTTGAATTTATTTTTGATAATTCGGACCGTTCACATTTTAGGGTTTGTTGAATATATTAAATTTGTAAAAAATTATGTCGATCGGATTACGGATATTATTTATTCGGATCACTTTTTTATGAACCGTTAATTTTTAGACCGTCAATTTCTTTTCCAGACAAAAGTAATCCGAATACATAATATCCGTTATCAAATCGACGCGATTTTTTACAGGAATAATGTGCTCAATAAATCTTAAAATGTGAATAATTCTAATTATTAGAAAAAGAATCCAAAAGTGGACTCAATAGACTGAACTAGACCGGACTATCTCAAATCTAAACTAAAGACCGTCCGGACACATCAAGATACTTATTTAACGAGGCAAATCACCCGCTAGTAATTTATTGAAGTGCGATAGGCAAATCATACACTGGAAATTTAACAAAAATGTAATCTACCTGTGAAATGACTAAATAAATAAAAAAAAAAAAAAAAAAAAAAAAAAAAAAAAAAAAAAAAAAAAAAACTCAACAACGGGCAAATCACACTCGTTATATTTATTGAAGTGTAAAGGCAAAACCCAATGCAATGGGTTACATTGTAAATTAAATATCGATGGCGAAGGGATTAAAGCACGCATGCAAGCATTGAATTACGGGCGGCCGGCTTTATTGAGTTTGTTGTAATGGATAAAGAAAACCACCTCTTGTTTTTGAATTTTTTTTCTTTCAGTGATTTTTTTTTATTTATAAAAATTATGTCAAAAATATTTTATTTTTTCTATCTGTCTTGTGGAGATGAATCCGAAACGCATATTTTTCCGCAACATTTCAAAAAACCATTGAAAAAATTCTGAATATAGTAGCGAAGACCTCTAACCATGGGAGGAAGGGGCTCGGCCGCCCGTTCTTGCTTCTCATCCTCGTCCACAGAGGGCAGTGGCTTGCGGGGATCCTCGCCAAATGACTTGGCTTGCTCAAGATATGCGTCCATACGCGGAGTGGCAAATAAGCGCAGCTCTTTTGGATCATCACCTCTTGCAGCGAAACGCTGGCGATTATGGGAAGTCTCAGAAGAGAGTGCAAAAGGACGCCCTTGCTTTTCGTAGATTGCCTGTGGTTTCATCAACCTCGACATCTGTTGCAGCTCAGATTTCAGCATCCCAATCAACGGGTTAGACTCATCTTTAACCACGTTCTCCTGCAAGCTTTGGGCTTCAACCAGGTTCTCAAGAGCACCGTCCAGATTCTTGTCGTCAGCCATGACTCTTGATGCTTTTATCATCTGTGCAGTTCGGAGACGGTTCTCCTCCATCATCACCTCCTTCCTCTCTGGCTCTACTGATGTCCTGCCGGTGCGGCTTACGGTAATGATTATCGGTCTGGCATCAAACAATTTCCCACCAGAGCTGCACGCGCGTTATATGCATACACATATCCATTATATTTGTCAGATCGATCATCGAGTCAAATTAAATAGCCAATTGAACAAACGAAACATAATTTATTCTACTAGCTAGTAAATGCAGGGATTTGATAATATTGGTACCACTTGACCTGTATGTGTAAGTGATGTTGAGGACATTCGAGCCCGCCAGACTACTAGCAGGAGGGAGAAGAAGGTCCACTATGACCTTGCGTACGTCTTTATTGTAAAGATCGCCAAATGAAACAGTCACAGAACCGGCAGCATCGTCGTAGGATAGTGGATAGTTTCCGGCGGACACCTTAAGGATTGTGGATTCAACTTTTGTGACAGTGAGCTTCAGATCCCGAACAACCACGGTGAGAAGCCCAGCCAAACACTGGGAAAATGCAATACTCAAGTTGTTCAGGTTTCGAACATCTGAGAACGTTCCTCCCATGCTGTGGTTTGCGATGGCATTGAGCACCTATATCAAAGAGTACACGTACAGGAATTACTAAAGTTATTAACGTAGGACAAGATTTTAAGAGTTTTTAAAATCTTGTTCAACGTTAGAGCTAATATTTGTAAGAAAAATAATTTTAAAATATTTATACTAAATTACAAGAATTTTAATAAAATAATATATCAAAAATATTAAAACTAAAAAATATAAAAATTCTTAAAATCTTATCCTACATCAGCTATAATATATATACTATAACTTTTGCAATTTTTTCTTAGAAAAATGCTAACCATCACTCCAAAATCCACAGGTTTTGTATACTGATTTTCCCACATCACAGTGTTATAAAGAAAGGAAAAAAAAATTAAAATAAAATAAAAATCTGGAGTGAATATAGCAGACTATGTGGAGTGAATGTGTAGGAATCACCTAATTTGCTAAAGGAAATTCCAATACAATAACCAAATTTACTAAACAGATAATATCAACATCCTCCAAGTATGGATTACCCAAGACTCTAGCTAGCCTAGATTAGTGTACAACTAGCTGTTAATTCCTCCGTAAAATAGATTGCTAAACAGATAATATCAACATTCTCTTGTATCTTGTAAAATCAATATGAATGAAATTATTTTTTTCAATACAACGTACCCTCGGATCGTGGTCTGTGCCAAAACCAAATGTGTATATGGGCACATTGCCGACCGGAACTTGGGCAGCATCACCACCTACGTTTTGCTGGCTGCCAGACATAAGCATAATGCCAACTACACGCCCGCTAGTAAGTCTGCGTTCATTGAGCACTTTTAAACCCGTTTGAAGACCAGCAGAGATATTTGTGCCACCGTTAGCAACTAAAGCATTGATCAGATTTTCAATCTCCCCTTGAGAATTTTTAGTTATTGGCCGCAATGGACACAACTTGTGGGAGACCCCGTTAAATGTGACAACCGACAAACGATCAATCGGGCTAAGTTTCTTGATCATGAATAGCATGGCAATTTTCATTTTTTCTAACTTCTCTCCCTCCATGCTACCGCTGACATCTAAGACCGTCACAAGATCCACTCCGGATCTGTCACTGCCGAATCCTGCCCCAGTGAGCTCCAGCATCACCTTGAATTCGCTTTCTTCCAGTGGTGCCGTCGTCTTCTTGATGATTGTCACATTTGTTTTTCCTCTTAGGATTGTTGCAGGTATTTCCCCTGAAATATGCCATCATCCCAAAACTCAAATTAACAATCAACAAAACATTCCAGGATGCTATAGGAGTATATACAGCCGATAAGGTGCAGAAAGTGTTGGAAATGAACTTGCAACACATGATACATTGTGCAGAAGCATGGCTGCAGCAATGGAGCTTCCATGGTCAAAGGGTCAAAGACTTAGACAAGAAGAAGAAGAAGACTCCAGCCATGATTTACAGATAGCTACAGCCATGCTTTCACACTGGTAAGAGCTTCTGTAAATAGCTCAATTACTAGCTAAGATTTATATAAGCTGATAGAGGGAAGATCTATCTCTCAGACTTTGAGAGATTTGATAGAGGATGAATACTCTGTTTCTTGTAAGCTTTGAATGAGACATATCAATACAATTGTGTGGCTTTTCTTTGTAAATTCATAGAGTATAATGGAGAAACGAAGAAAACATAAACCTCCAACCATGGGAGGAAGGGGCTCGTCCTCGAGTTCTTCCTTCTCATCCTCGTCCACAGAGGGCAGTGGCTTGCGGGGATCCTCGTCAAATGACTTGGCTTGCTCAAGGTATTCGTCCATACGCGGAGTTGCAAATAAGCGCAGCTCTTTCGGATCATCACCTCTTGCAGCGAAACGCTGGCGATCATGGGAAGTCTCAGAAGAGAGTGCAAAGGGACGCCCTTGCTTTTCGTAGATTTCCTGTGGTTTCATCAACTTCGACATCTGTCGCAGCTCAGATTTCAGCATCCCAATCAACGGGTTAGACTCATCATTAACCATGTTCTCCTGCAAGCTTTGTGCTTCAACGAGCTTCTCAAGAGCACCGTCCAGCTTCTTGTCGTCAGCCATGATTCTTGATTCTTTTATCATCTGTGCAGTCCGGAGACGGTTCTCCTCCATCATCACCTCCTTCGTCTCTGGTTCTCCTTCCTCTCTGCCTCCTCCGGTGCGTCTTACGGTAACGATTATCGGACTCTCATCAAACAATTTCCCACCAGAGCTGCACGGGCGTCATATGCATGCACATATCCATTATATTTGTCAGATCGATCATCGAGTCAAATTAAATAGCCGATCGAACAAACGAAACATAATTTATTCTACTAGCTAGTAAATGCAGGGATTTGATAATATTGGATATTCGAGGTCGCCGGACTACTTATCCATTATATTTGTCAGATCGATCATCGAGTCAAATTAAATAGCCGATCGAACAAACGAAACATAATTTATTCTACTAGCTAGTAAATGCAGGGATTTGATAATATTGGTACCACCTGACCTGTATGTGTAAGTGATGTTGAGGATATTCGAGGTCGCCGGACTACTAGCAGCAGGGAGAAGAAGGTCCACTATGACCTTGCGTACCTCTTTGTTGTAAAGATAGCCAAATGAAACAGTCATAGAGCCGGCAGCATCGTCCTTGGATTGTGGATAGTTTCCGGCAGAAACCTTAACGATTGTGGATTCAACTTTTGTGACAGTGAGCTTCAGATCCTGAACAACCACGGTGAGAAGCCCAGCCAAACACTGGGAAAATGCAATACTCAAACTGTCTTGGTTTCGAACATGTGAGAACGTTCCTCCCAGGCTGTTGTTTGCGATGCTATTGAGCACCTATATCAAAGAGTACACGTACGGGAATTACTAAAGTTAGTGACGTAGGATAAGATTTAAATTTTTTTTAAAATCTTGTCTTATATTAGATCTAATATTTGTAAGAAAAATAATTTTAAAATATTTATATTAAATTACAAGAATTTTAGTAAAATAATATATCAAAAATATTAAAATTAAAAAATATTAAAATTCTTTAAATCTTATCTACATCAGTTATACTATATACTACAACTTTTGCAATTTTTTCTTAGAAAAATGCTAACCATCACTCCAAAATTCACAGGTTTTGTATACTGGTTTTCCCACATCACGGTGTTATAAGGAAGGAAAGAAAAAAAAAATAAATAAATAAAAGTTTGGAGTGAATATAGCAGATTACGTGGAGTGAATGTGTAGGGATCACCTAATTTACTAAAGGAAATTCCAATACAATAACCAAATTTACTAAACAGATAATATCAACATCCTCCAAGTATGGATCACCCAAGACACTAGCTAGCTTAGATTAGTGTACAACTAGTTGTTAATCCCTCCATAAAATAGATTGCTACACAGATAATATCAACATCCTCTTGTACCCTGTAAAATCAATATGAATGAAATTATTTTTTTTCAATACAACGTACCCTCGGATCGTGGTCTGCGCCAAAGCCAAATGTGTATACGGGCACATTGCCGACCGGAACTTGGGCAGCATCACCATCTATGTTTTGCTGGCCGTCGGACATGAGCATAATGCCAACTGCACGCCCGCTAATAAATCTGCGATCATTGAGCACTTTTAAGCCCGTTTCAAGACCAGCAGAGATGTTTGTGTAACCGTTAGCAATTAAAGCATTGACCAGATTTTCAATCTCCCTTTGAGAATTTTCAGTTATCTGCCGCAATGGGCACAACCTGTGGGAGACTTGGTTGAATTTGACAACCGACAAACGATCAATCGGGCTAAGTTTCTTGATCATGAATAGCATGGCAATTTTCATTTTTTCTAACTTCTCTCCCTCCATGCTACTGCTGACATCTAAGACCGTCACAATATCCACTCCGGATCTGTCGCTGCCGGATCCTGCCCCAGTGAGCTCCAGCATCACCTTGAACTTGCTTTCTTCCAATGGTGCCGTCGTCTTGTTGAAGATTGCCACCTTTGTTTTTTTTCCTCTTAGGATTGCTGCAGGTTTTTTTCCTGAAATATGCCATCATCCCAAAACTCAAAATTAACAATCAACAAAACATTCTAGTATGCTATAGGAGTATATACAGCCGATAAGGTGCAGAAAGTGTTGGAAATGGACTTGCTACACATGATACATTGTGCAGAAGCATGGCTGCTTCAATGGAGCTTCCATAGTCAAAGGGTCAAAGACTTAGACATGAAGAAGAATAAGACTCCAGCCATGATTTACAGATAGCTCCAGCCATGCTTTCACACTGGTAAGAGCTTCTGTAAATATTTCAATTACTAGCTAAGATTTATATAAGCTGATACTTTGAGAGATTTGACAGAGGATGAATACTCTGTTTCTTGTAAGCTTTGAGTGAGACATATCAATACAATTGTGTGGCTTTTCTTTGTAAATTCATAGAGTATAAATGGAGAAACGAAGAAAACATAAACCTGAGACATCTTGGCTTGCAACAATCGGCTCATCATCGTTGAAGCTCATTTTGCCAAGAAAACTGATACACCAATTGAATTTGCTAAACTTTCCTTACTCCCATCTCACCACTTTCAACCTTAGATAAATATAGAGAGGAAACAATTGTCAACGAAGACTTTTTTTTTATTTTTTTTATTTTTATTTAATCTTAAGGCGTGGATATGACAACTCAATTTGTTTTTTTATTTTTTATTTTTTTATTTTTTGCATAGCGAAAATCTCCATTGAATTGAAGGGGGCAAACACTTCCTTTTAGTCGTTTTTTATTTTAAGGCCTCGATATGACTGCTCAATTTTTAATTTTTTTTTTATTTTTTCATTTTGATTTATTTTTTCTTCTTTCGCATACGAAAGGTTGAATTGAAGGGAGCAATGCTACGATCGGGTAAACACCAATTAATGCTCATGCTTTTTTTTTTTTTTAATATTTTTTTGTTACTTATGATTTTTTTTTTCATTTTATGTTTTTTTAAAAAAAAAAATCATTTCTCACTCTATTCTCAACAAACTATTATTCATTTTTTTTGCTTATAATCATTTTTTTTTTATTTTTTTATTTATACACCAATTGAATTTGATAGTGACTTCTATTTTGCTCTTAGAAAAATTACTGATGAGCTTGGGGGTTTATTGTTACGGGTAGGATAGGTGTTAGGCATCCTACATCACTTTTATGGTACTAATTTCCAAATCTATTGATTTCTCTACTGATGGATCTACCTTTGAAAAATATTTATAACAGTTAAAGTAAAATTTAGGATTTAATACGGCAAATGATTAGTAGAATTAGTAGTAAAATATTTACATATAAATAAATAAATACATATATATATACACTCACTCATGTATATATATATATATGTATATATACTCATGTACATATATATATATATATATATTGGGTTAATTCCATCAAATATATATTTATTCAGATGTAATTTTTACATATGTATGTGTATAAGTATATGTATATATATGTAAGGGTCAATTTCACCAAAACATACATATACATATTATGATAAATAATATTTATTCTACACATACATGTATATATAGACATAGAGGTCAATTCTATCAAAATATATATACCCGTACGTTATGGTAAATATCATTTATTCATTTTTTATTTATATATATGTATATATATATGGGTCAATTTCACCCAAAATATATACACATATGTATAAATAATATAGTAATAACGTAAACATAAAAAAAATGAAATAAAGTATATTAACTTGAATGGAATAAAGAAAATAAATGAATAATATAAATATTGTTCAATTTGTTTACGTAAATATCCACAGGCTAAAAAAATCAAAATATCTTTTCTTTTTTGAACTGAAAAAAAATCAAAATATCTAACGCATTCTATTTTTCACTCTGATTTTTTTTTAAAAAATTTACTTCACTCTCCTCTCTTCTTACTCTTTCTTCACTTCTCCAATTTTTCTCTCTTCTGATCTCTCCTCTCTCCTGAGCTCTGCCTCATTTGGCATCAATCTATTTAGAGAGAAGTTATGGTGTTGATGATGATGGGTATAAAAAAAATTAAAAATGAAATGATGATGATGATGTTGGGTACAAAAAAAATAAAAATAAAAATGGAATAATGATGATGATGTCAGGTGGAAATTATCTCATCGTTTTCATTATTTTTTTTATTATATATATATTATAAAGCTTTGTAGAATTTATTCAGTGTAGCGGAGGCACACGAATTCCTTGATCTGTGTAGTTGAAATATGATGTTGATTTGATGGACGCCATGTGGCAATTCTCCATTGGTTGGACATGAATGAGAGGAATCTTCAAACACATGGAATAAAAACCCATTTAGCTCTAGTGACGAGTTGTTGATGAAGAAAAATCATGTGTGATGGAGCCATATGACAACTCAAATTAGTAGTTGAGATTTGCTTGATGAAAAACGGAATATATTTGGTGGCCATAAATTCTGTGGCTCAAATGGTCCGAAACTGTCAAAACGACGTCGTTTGGACTTGTTTTGCATAAAAAATGACGTCGTTTTGACAGTTTCGGGCCATTTGAGCCATAGAATTTATGACCCCTAGCATTGCTGATAAAAAACACCATAAATTTGTGTCCAAAGAATTTTGGGCATCCCGAATCCAACGGGGACTTCCATTTATGTAAATTCCTTTGACTTGGGGTAAAATAGAATATCAACAGTTGTCCCTCTTTGTATAATTATGTTTGATCAAGATTTTACAAAGATTGGAAGTGAGACACATTTTGCTTCAAGAATAAACACGGAACATATCTTTCTTCTTTTTCTTTTTCTTTTTCCTTTTTCCTTTTTTTTTTCCCGTATTTTCTTTTCTTCCTTGTTTCATTGTTGAGGTATCAGGTGCCTCTCTTTTCTCTTTCTTCATCTTCTTATTCTTCTTCCTTTATCGAGCGTTGTGTCTAGCTCTCACAATTTCAACAACTGCCGCGCCTGACGATGACATAGTTGGCCTTGATTTTGCTTCCATCGATCGTCTTGAAATGAAAAATGATAAAATCATTTATAGCAAATAGAGGCCTTGATTTCTTTTTGCTATAAATTAACATTTCCCTTTCACGTTGTCTCTCACAAAAATAAAAAAAATACAAAAAAATCAACTCAAATGATCCCAGGTTAAAATAACTAAAAAAATCAAGCCACTATATTAATAGGTTGTGGAAAATAAAAATAAATTAAAAAGATAAGATATCTGGTATTAAAAAATATATAATTTATAATAAATTATCTAGGTACAAGAGAAATGTTAATATATTAGTTGGTCGTGGGAAATATATAATCTATAGCAAATCAATTAGGTGCAAGGGAAATGTTAATTTATATTAACATATACTAATATAATTTTCAATGCATCATTTTTTAAATAAAAAATGATATATGAGTTCATTTTGTAAATTTATTTTCTAAATTCAGTGATGTATAAGTAATATCATTGATTGATGATTGAGAATATATGAAAAAAAATATTACCTTAAATATCATTATTAATTATCACATTTTTAAATTTAAAAATTAAATCTAATTTTTAAATTTATAATGTAATGGCCTTTCTAAAAATAAATTAGTAGGTTGTGGGGTTTGAAAATATAAAAAGTGAGCAGATGGGGAGGAGAGGATAGACCGCCCAACATCTCTGATATCACCAAGCCCTTAATAAATACCTCGATTTGCTAGTATAGAAATCGTAGAAAAAGATGGCAGAGAAGAGAGGTAGCATTGCCTTCTCCGCAACCTACCGATCACCGGTGCCGCTGGGTGATCCGAATATACAAATCAAACAAATAATTAAATAATAATAATTCTACAATTTTAAATATTTCACTTATGAATCTTTAAGTGCAAACTAAATATTATTGAAGGGTCTTTTAATTAATTTTAAAATTTAAAATAAATTTATGGTGAAAGTCTTTAATTTAGAGGCAAAATTTATTATTTTTCAAAAAAATAAATAGAGAAGATGGTGTGACTTGAACTCTAGACCATAATTTGATAAATAATGGTCTTATCATTTGAGTTGCTTACAACATATTTAAACATTTTGTATATTATTTATTTATTTAACCTAAACATGCTTTGGGTGTGCCCAACCACTAGTATTAAATAAAATATACACAAAACCCTATTTTCTTATTTGTTCATCACAAGTTAGCAGTAGCAGTGAGAGAGAGAGAGAGAGGGAGAGAGAGAGAGAGAGCTAAGAGAGATTGGAGAGAAACTTTTAGCAACATTGGTGGTCAACAACTCTAAGGTATTGTCCTATTTTATTATATCTATATGTTGTGATGGTTCATGTGTGTAATCTGCTTGCTGTTGGGAAGGAATACGAGAAACGGGTGTGTTGTTTGGGTGCCAAGTAAGTGTTTGGTGATGAGAAATAATGGGTATAATTCTTAGTTCAAAAAAAATTCTGTACAGAATCACAAATTTTAAAAATCGAGGAATCATATCAAATGAATGAATTTTGAACTGAAATGTTTACAGTAGATTAATTACATATTGAATTGCATATAAGAATTTTCTCATAAATTTTGGGAGTCAAAATCTATATTAACTAGTGCGTTCAAATATGTCTAGAAAACTGGTGTAAAACAGTACCTTCGAAAGTGTCGTTCTCTTTGGGTATAAATCCAAAAATTATCAAATAAGCATCATTAGAACTGGTTACGAGTCTAGTTTATTTCATTTTTATTCTTGCATTGATTTCTCTTGTATACTAAGAGAACCATTAATTTCTTTAAAGTGCTGCAGAAAGCGACCTGTTTGGATATAATTAATTGTAAATAATTATTTTGATAAGAAAATCAAGTAAAACCAATTGGTTTTGAAACTTAGGATATCTTAGTTGATGTCTGGAGGGTTTTGGAATTTTTCAAATAGCGTGGAGTGGGTTTTGTAATTTTCAAAGTTAGCGAATAGATTTGAAAAGCTTGTTTAAAATTTTATTTTATCTTAAAATTACTTTTAATTAAGTTTCGATTTGAACCCATGTCTTGGGTGATTTTAGACCTTGAAGAACATGAACTTAGGTATTATCACTACAACAAAAATAGTCTTTAGAGATGAAAACTAATAAAGAATTTTTTTTTTGTCACGAAATATGTATCTTTTAATGACGAAAATCATATTTCGTCTCCAAATGTATCATTTTTAGAGATAAAAATAAAATTTCGTCACCAATCTAAATCATAATAAAAAAAATAGGTGACGAAATTATATTTCGTCATTATTTATATTTTTTTTGTCACCAAATATTTTCCCGCTAATATTTTCGGAGGGCGCCAAAATTAATAGACTTTTGGTGAGGAAAAAATTTGTCACCAATTATAAAATTATTAATGACAAATATATTTTTGTCACCAATAATTTGGTGATATTTTAATATCATTTAGTGACAAAACTATTTTTGTGGCCAATATTTTTATCTTTGGTGAAGAAATAATTTTGTCACTAAATATTTTAGGGGGAAATAAAAATGTTTTGTTACAATCGGTTCCTCAATCACACAATCATTTCTCGGTTCAAACCTATTTCACACACACGCACACACACACACGCACACACAGACGTTATACTACATATGGCCCTCACCGCCGTTGCTCACATTGGATCAACCCACCGCCGCTTTACCATTTCCGACAGCCCTTACCGTCGACAGCCCTCACCAAAGCCGCTGTTAGCCCCTCTTTTCCTCACCGCCGCTCTGTGCCGATCGGAGAACACCGCTGCTAGT